CTGGTTGTCAAGCGGTTCCTAAAATCCACCATCCCACTGCAAGACATCCTTAAAATGTCACGTAAACTTTGCATGCATTTCAGCCATTCCTACACCGCAAAGCACACCCTCCTTGAGCTGCAGCGGCAGAACGGAATTCCACAGCATCGCCTGATCTGCGACGTTGCAACAAGGTGGAATTCAACCCTACACATGTTAGACCGCCTTTACGAACAGCGAAAGGCCATCACCGATTTCCTGATGTTACAAGCGGATAAAGGTACTCCCCTGTGTAACTTCGATGTCAGCCATTGGCAGCTCATGCGTGACACCTGCCGCTTGCTCAGGCCCTTTGAGGAGGCCACGCTATTCGTGAGTCGGCAGGACTATGGGATGAACGACGTCATTCCTCTGTTGCACGTCCTGGAACAAATGCTGTTAACAATGGCTGGTCAGGGTGCGGTAGACGTGGCGCACAGATCTCAACGCCACATGACCCCTGTGGGGGCAGGACAGGAAGAAGAGGAGGAGGTAGAGGAGGACATTTGTGCTCAGGAATTATTGAGTGAAATGGGTGGTTTTTCCACTCAGCGGACAGGAGTGGAGGAGCAGGAGCATCTGGTAGAGGAGGAGGAGGAGGAGACAGAGGACCCAGACGCACCGTGGCAGTATGCTGTGGAGATGGAGGCAGGGAGTCCCTCGCATTCCTTGGCACAAATGGCCCATAGCATGCTCGCTTGCTTGCGTAGCGACAGCCGAATAATAACCATCAGACAGACAGGGGATGACTTTTGGCTGTCCACCTTGTTGGACCCTCGCTACCGTTCAAAAATGGTGGCCTTTTTCACACCTGCTGAGAGGGAGGCCAAAATAACGTACTATAAAAAAACCACCTATGTAGTCAGTTGGTCTCTGCCTTTGTGCGCCAACGTCCATCCTCAGACACTGTGGGCCCTGTGCGCTCGCGTTCCGCTGCCATGGCAGCAGGGGAGGGGGGGGGGGGTAGGGAGCAGTGGCAGCTCCACCAGCAGCGGCTGCCTCAGTCTGCAGTCGATGATGAGTAGCTTTCTTCACCAGCGCAGTGAGGAAACTACTAACCAGCCGCAGCAGCAGCATCAGGTGGACCTGGAGCAGGACCTCAAACAACAGGCTTGGGCCTACTTGGACAGCACCCTGCCAACCGAGGTAGACAATCCCCTTGACTACTGGGCAACGAAACTTGACCTTTGGCCCCAACTAGCTGAATTTGCCCTTGAAAGGCTGTCATGCCCGGCCAGTAGCGTGGCATCGGAGCGCGTGTTTAGTGCGGCAGGAGGTATTGTAACTCCGCGGAGGACACGACTGTCCACCCAAAGTGTGGAGAGACTCACGTTTGTGAAAATGAATCAGGCGTGGATTAGTCTGGATTTCAAACCACCAGTTCCTGACACAACTGACTAAATCCGCCATGAATCATGCCCCTGCCATGTGCCACTTTCACGTCTCCTCACACTGCTGGTGTGTTCCATTTTTTGTCATAGGGTGCTGGCAGATTACGGGCCTCCCATAGCTGCTGCCAGGACCATAATCTGCCATGGGCCCCTGTACCGCCTCCTCATGCTGCTGCCAGGTCCACAGTGTCTCATGCCATGTGCCACTTTCACGTCTCCTCACACTGCTGGTGTGTTCAATTTTTTGTCATAGGGTGCTGGCAGATTACGGGCCTCCTATAGCTGCTGCCAGGCCCCTAATCTGCCATGGGCCCCTATACCGCCTCCTCATGCTGCTGCCAAGTCCAGAGTCTGTCATGGGTCCCTGTACGGCCTCCCATTGCTGCTGTCTCCATCGCCACACTCTGCCATGTGCCACTTTCAGGTCTCCTCACACACTGCTGGTGTGTTCAATTTTTTGACATAGGGTGCTGGCAGATTACGGGCCTCCCATAGCTGCTGCCAGGCCCCTAATCTGCCATGGGCCCCTGTACCACCCTCCTCATGCTGCTGCCAGGTCCACAGTGTCTCATGCTATGTGCCACTTTCAGGTCTCCTCACACTGCTGGTGTGTTCAATTTTTTGACATAGGGTGCTGGCAGATTACGGGCCTCCCATAGCTGCTGCCAGGCCCCTAATCTGCCATGGGCCCCTATACCGCCTCCTCATGCTGCTGCCAAGTCCAGAGTCTGTCATGGGTCCCTGTACGGCCTCCCATTGCTGCTGTCTCCATCGCCACACTCTGCCATGTGCCACTTTCAGGTCTCCTCACACATGCTGGTGTGTTCAATTTTTTGACATAGGGTGCTGGCAGATTACGGGCCTCCCATAGCTGCTGCCAGGCCCCTAATCTGCCATGGGCCCCTATACCGCCTCCTCATGCTGCTGCCAAGTCCAGAGTCTCTCATGGGTCCCTGTACGGCCTCCCATTGCTGCTGTCTCCATCGCCACACTCTGCCATGTGCCACTTTCAGGTCTCCTCACACTGCTGGTGTGTTTCAATTTTTTGACATAGGGTGCTGGCAGATTACGGGCCTCCCATAGCTGCTGCCAGGCCCCTAATCTGCCATGGGCCCCCGTACCGACCTCCTCATGCTGCTGCCAGGTCCACAGTGTCTCATGCCATGTGCCACTTTCAGGTCTCCTCACACTGCTGGTGTGTTCACATTTTTTGACATAGGGTGCTGGCAGATTACGGGCCTCCCATAGCTGCTGCCAGGCCCCTAATCTGCCATGGGCCCCTATACCGCCTCCTCATGCTGCTGCCAGGTCAGAGTCTCTCATGGGTCCCTGTACGGCCTCCCATTGCTGCTGTCTCCATCGCCACACTCTGCCATGTGCCACTTTCAGATCTCCTCACACTGCTGGTGTGTTACATTTTTTGTCATAGGGTGCTGGCAGATTACGGGCCTCCCATTGCTGCTGCCAGGCCCGTAATCTGCCATGGGCCCCCGTACCGACTCCTCATGCTGTGACGTTGCAACAAGGTGGAATTCAAGCCTACATATGTTAGACCGCCTTTACGAACAGCGAAAGGCCATCACAGATTTCCTGATGTTAAAAGCGGATAAAGGTACTCCCTGTGTAACTTAGATGTCAGCCATTGGCAGCTCATGCGTGACACCTGCGCTTGCTCAGGCCCTTTGAGGAGGCCACGCTATTCGTGAGTCGGCAGGACTATGGGATGAACGACGTCATTCCTCTGTTGCACGTCCTGGAACAAATGCTGTTAACAATGGCTGGTCAGGCTGCGGTAGACGTGGCGCATCACAGAGGGATGACAGATCTCTCACGCCACGCCACATGACCCCTGTGGGGGCAGGACAGGAAGAAGAGAGGAGGAGGTAGAGGAGGACATTGGTGCTCAGGAATTATTGAGTGAAATGGGTGGTTTTTCCACTCAGCGGACAGGAGTGGAGGAGCAGGAGCATCTGGTAGAGGAGGAGGAAGAGGAGACAGAGGACCCAGACGCACCGTGGCAGTATGCTGTGGAGATGGAGGCAGGGAGTCCCTCGCATTCCTTGGCACAAATGGCCCATAGCATGCTCGCTTGCTTGCGTACCGACAGCCGAATAATAACCATCAGACAGAGGGATGACTTTTGGCTGTCCACCTTGTTGGACCTCGCTACCGTTCAAAAATGGTGGCCTTTTTCACACCTGCTGAGAGGGAGGCCAAAATAACGTACTATAAAAAACCACTATGTAGTCAGCTGGTCTCTGCCTTTCTGCGCCAACGTCCATCCTCAGACACTGTGGGCCCTGTGCGCTCGCGTTCCGCTGCCATGGCAGGGGGAGGGGTGGGGTGGTAGGAGCATTGGCAGCTCCAGCGCAGCACACTGACTGTCCACCCAAAGTGTCGATGACTGAGTAGTGAAAATTCACCAGCGCGTGGATTAGTCTGGATTTCAAACCACCAGTTCCTGACACAACTGACTAAATCCGCCATGAATCATGCCCCAAACATGTGCCACTTTCAGGTCTCCTCACACTGCTGGTGTGTTCAATTTTTTGTCATAGGGTGCTGGCAGATTACGGGCCTCCCATAGCTGCTGCCAGGCCCCTATACCGCCTCCTCATGCTGCTGCCAAGTCCAGAGTCTCTCATGGGTCCCTGTACGGCCTCCCATTGCTGCGGTCTCCATCGCCACACTCTGCCATGTGCCACTTTCAGGTCTCCTCACACTGCTGGTGTGTTCCATTTTTTGTCATAGGGTGCTGGCAGATTACGGGCCTCCCATAGCTGCTGCCAGGCCCCTAATCTGCCATGGGCCCCCGTACCGACTCCTCATGCTGCTGCCAGGCCCGTAATCTGTCATGGGCCCCTGTACCGCCTCCTCATGCTGCTGCCAGGTGCAGAGTGTGTCATGGGTCCCTGTACGGCCTCCCATTGCTGCTGTCTCCGTCGCCACACTCTGCCATGTGCCACTTTCAGGTCTCCTCACACTGCTGGTGTTTCCATTTTTGTCATAGGGTGCTGTATGGCCTCCCATTGCTGCTGCCTCCACCGCCACACTGTGGCTCCACACTCTGGTTTTGGCCCCGTGACTGCCCAAATGAGTGAAGTGTGCGGTGATTCTAAGATCAACGGCACTCATCTGCATGTCATACTGACTGTCAGTATTATTTCTCTTCCCCAGCAGACTCCAAGGGCATTTAAATTAAAGGTACAGTGTTCTGCACGAATATAAAGGCTCTCTGAAGCCTAGAAACACCCTTTTATAAGTTAAATTCGCAGCGAATATATTCGACTCGAATCGAAATTTTTCCACGAATTCGCCGAATCAGTCGAATCGAATTTTTGAATACTTCGCTCATCTCTAAAGTTAACCCATGGTCTGTTTATACAGGGCAAATAGCAAGTACACATTGGAGCAAGTACATCTTACAGTCTAACGCCAGGTTTCATGTATCAGTTTGTTTGGATCAGATTGTGACATCATCCATTTTCCCACCTTTCCAACAATATCTGTTTTTCCAGCAGATTACTTTCACTGGTCTTCATAACCCTCTCCCAATCATTCATATTTCTGGTGTATCGCTGCAGGATGTATAAACTTTGTGGAGTAATCTCTCATGAGCTGAAATATAAAAATGTCCATGTTATAACACATCTCCAAAGAAAGGAAAAATGTTTCTGCACTGCAAAGATCAAATGTTTGTTAGGTCGGGGGGGGGCACAAAATGCAACTTTACGTATCAGATTCTGTTTCTCCAGCTGGAGGAGCTCCCCTCTTCACCTCAGTTTTGCGACAGCTGACTGTCCCTCGGCAACCTCACATCCAGTGCAAAGCTATGGGCTCTGCATTGGAATTGATGTCAAAAGACCTATGAAACCTGGAGCATAGTGAAGAGAATGCTGCAGGGACCATTATTTCGAGTCTGAAGGGATCCTGCTGGAATGGAGGATCAAGTTAAGTAAAATTAATTTTGTTGTGGCCCCCTAGACCTAAAATGAGCAGCTATACCCTTGCAGTTCAGAGCAGCTCCACTGTAAGGGAGCATTTGACCTGAAGTTCAGCTTTAACAGCTTACAATACCTTTTTAATACAGACATGTTATATCAATCAGTGGAAAAAAAAAAATCTTGTTACCTGTAGTTTTTCCATGTTCATTCTTAGATTGTCTGTATATTGATTTTGTTGCTGTCTCCAAGCACTGTATTCACCCACAGGATGCTGTTTGAATGAATCTATCCCATATCCTTGATGTGTGGCTCCTGAGAACCCAGCTCTGATAATGTGCTCAACTCCTCCAGTCTCTTTCCTCTCAGGTAGAGCTTTGTAATGCGTAACCATTGTGCTAGGAGCTACTGCAGGGATTTCACATTTCATATCACTGCAAAAAGTGTTCAATAGACCCGACTGGTTCAGTGTAGGTTCAATATTAGGCATTTCAAACTTTCTGGTGTCATCTGCGGTGGAAGGGTCTAATGTAGGTAGTGTTGGGAAAACAGAAAAAGCAGCTTCTGCAGAAAGTGGGGCTCCGTTTTGCATATGTGTATTACTGGAGGACGCTGCCAATGTAGAAGGCACAACATGAGCTGTGGGAATGGTAACCTGGCTTTTTATTGGCTGGAAAGTGGTACTGCCACTAGCATTGCAGAAATCTGAAAGTAAATACAAAAACACACACACAAGATTAATTTTATTATAGTAACAAAAGTAGAACTTGCAGAATAATATGGTAGCCTGGAATTTTAGAGAAAATTATAGCAATTTAATATACTCACTTTACTCATATGTACCAAGTATGTCACAGTATTCTGTGACCATTATAAAAAAAATGTGTTGATTGCGTTTTTTTATATCGTACATCACAGAACACCATACAGGTTGTTCATGACTATGTGGGTTACAGTATATGCTGCCTATAGGTGAATCAGATAGGAAGTCCTCCCCTATATAACCCCTCCCACACAGGTAGTTCTGTTTTTTCCCCAGTGTTCGTAAGGTGGGTGGTTACAGATGTGCTGCATGTGCTCTTAGAGCATACTTAGATGTCTGGAACGGTTCTGTTGAGAATCAAGGACTTCAATCAGATCCATTCGAAAAGCTGTTAGCTGTGACAGGTGCATCTGAGCAACTGTGTTTGTCTGGCATTGCAGCTATTCCTGGTGGCGGAGCTGCAATGGACTGCGTCTACATCACCCTGAACGTGCCTGATCTTGTCTGAACTCGGAAGCTAAGCAGGCTCAGCCCTGGTTAGTACTTGGAGGGGAGACTGCCTGGGAATTCCAGGTGTTGTAAGCTTTTCCTCTCCAGAGTCTGAGATGGCTGTGTTTTTAGAAGAATCTCGAGCAGAGGATGCAGGGCAGTCTCCGAGGTGATTCGAGACACTCGACAGGTTTGCAGGCCCAAAACCAAACGTTAACATGAGGTACTTGGATCTCGGGGTACTCGGTATAAGTCTAAACGTCCTCCTGTTTCGGATGGGATCGTACGATCAGTGGTGGCTTTTCTGCAAGAGATAGATTTCGGGTGTCCCTAGTCATCAATGACCAATGACGCACATCTTCAAGGGCCAATTTTTTTCCAGGCTCATCAAGGGTTTATTATTTACAGTAAAGAATTACCATTTTTTTTGTTTTGGGACACTGCCCTTTGGGCTGGCCACAGCCCCTAGAGTGTTCACAAAGCACCTAGGGTTGCCGAGGACACCGGGGGGGGGGGGGGGGGGGGGGGGGGGGGGGGGTGCTGAGGTGGCAGTCTCAGAATACCTTAAATGTTCAGAAAGCTCAGACAGCAGTTGGTTTAAAGCAAAACATAAGAGGCAAAAGATAAAAAGATACTTTCAATATGTCTCTGCAGGAAGAAATGGTATCCATGTTGAAGTGGTTTTCTACCTGTAGTTCCACTCCAAGTGTTTTGTAGAGCATGCTATCTCTCTGGATCATGAAGGTCCAAGCATTGGATTGCCGGAGGTCTTTGTCCCTGGGGTATTGCAGAGTCCGAATTGGTGGCTTGTTAGGAATCTGGAGAAGGGAAATATTTTCCTTCCCGTTATATGGAAGATAGTAAACACTGATGCCAGTCTCTCCGGTTGGGGGGCTGGTTTGCAGGTGGCTACAGTTCAGAGGACTTGGTCAAAGGAAATACTGCCCATAAATATCTTGGAACTTTGGGCAGTACGCCTTGCTCTGGATTATTGGACGAACCAGTTGAACAGGTTTGTGGTCAGGGTTTGGTCCGACAATGCCATGGCAGTGGTGTAAATTAACCACCAGGGCGGCACCAGGAGTCGTGCGGTTCAGTAAAAGTTGAATTACATTCTGTATGGGGCAGGATAGCATATGCCATCTCTGTCAACAGTACATATTCCAGTTACAAAAAACTAGCTCCTCGGTCAACTGCTGAGTAAGCATATAAAGGGTGTTCTATCACACAGCCCTGGAGTTGTTCATATTCCTCCCTGCAACTTAGGGATTAGGGTAATTTCTGCTTCCTCAATCACCCCTTCTCCATACAGTTTTTGTGCAATGAAGAAAAAAAATGGCACATTAATGAGGTCTATCTTCTGTCCTGAGCATGTTCTATTTCCAGCTCTATGGAAAGCTGATTAATTGTCACTGCTGCTCCTCCTCCTCATTCTGAACACTGCTATTCCAGGGATCATAGTTGGCTAATAAAGTTTCAGGTATTAACAGCCATTTTTTTTTTTTCTTTTGCCACTTGTGTACTACTGGGGAGATTTTTTCTTTACCTCCTGTCCCAACAGTAAGTGAGCGAAAATCCCTCCAAAACTGAGGGAAACCTGGTGTGTCACCAGAACCATGTCTCCATGGGAAGATTTCCCCTTCTATTGGTGTTCTGGAGTCAAATGGAGAAAAGTTAATTTCCAGGGACACAGTCCATAATAAAAACTGTCAGGTGTTCTAATCCAGCTCAATGCTATCCAAAACTAAAAAAAAAAAAGCTTTGCCTTTAGTTACATTTTAAGAAGTTTATAACTAAAACAGTTATTTAATTAAAAAGACATCTGTCACAATGTGCCTGCAGAGCTGCCCCCAACCCCTCTCCTAGTGCCTGTGCCCTGTGTGGCACCTTCCTTCCCCCCTTCTCATCCTGTCACGGCCCTTTGAAGCCACACAGGATGAGAAGTGTTACTTTCCTCACCATGCCACAGTCATCTGCCTCCCACCGGGCACAGCCCGCAGGAGGAAAATAACCCCCTGCGGCGAGATTCACGCCTCTCCGGGCCATGCCGCCAGGAGAGGGGTGTGACCTCCAGCAGGGAGATTTTGCGACAGGGCCACAGGCTTGACGCCGCCCCGACCCCCGCCCCCCCCCCCCCCGGCGAGTGCGGCGCGGGCACGAGATTTCCCGCGTCTGCACTTACTGGAGACAAAGGCTGTGCTCTTGAGAGCGCGGCCCGTGTCCGCTGGATCGCGTTTACAAGTGGCAGGAGGGGATGAGCACCCTGACTATAACGAAGCCATGCTGTTGTCATAGGTACAGTATGCAGTTCACTACTGTCCTGCTGAAATAAGCAAGGCATTCCCTGAAAAAAAGATGTCTGGATGGGAGCATATGTTGCTCTAAAACCTGGATGATCTTTCAGCATGGATGGTGCCTCTCTAGATGTGCAAGCTGCCCATTCTATCCGCAATAATGCACCCTTACACCATCAGAGATGCAGGCTTTTGAACTGAGCGCTGATAAGCTGGAAGGTCCCTCTTCCCTTTAGTCTGGAGGACATGGTGCCAAAAAGAACGTCAAATTTCAATTTGTCTGACCACAGAACAGTTTTCCACTTTGCAACAGGCCATTTTAAATGAGCTTTGGCCAAGAGAAGAGAGTAACGTTTATGGATCATGTGTATATATGGTTTCTTCTTTGCATGATAGAGCTTGGACTTGCATTTTTGGGTGGCATAGTGAACTGTGTTCACAGACAGTATTCCTGAGTTCATGAAGTGATGTCCATCATAGAATCGTGCCTATTCTTTTTTTTAATATAGTGCCGTCTAAGGGCCTGAAAGAACATGCATCCAATATTGCAGTTTGCCTTGTCCCTTGTGCAGAGATTTCTTTAGTTTCTTGGAATCTTTCGATAATACGAACTGTAGAAGACGATACGTTAATGATATGTTGAGGAAAATTATTCTGGCATTGTTCTACAATTTTTAGATGCAGCTTTTCACAGATTGGTGAACCTCTGTACATCTTTACTTCTGAGATAATCTGACTCTCTAAGATGCCCTTTATATAAACAACCATGTTTCTGACCTGTTGCCAATGAACCCAGTTTAAAAAAAAAAATGTTCTTCCAGCCACTTACTTTGCTAGCTTTTTGTTGCCCTGTCCCAACTTTGAGATGTGTTGCTGCCACCAATTTCAAAATTATCTTATTTATTTCTTAAAATAGTACATCATTTTTCTCAGTTTAAACATTTGATTTATTCTCTGTGGATTTTACGCAGCGTTCCAACTTTTGTGGAACTGGGGTTGTACAAAAACCAATGAGGAATCCCCCCCTCCTGTGGGACATCATACTCTGACAGCTATCAGTACACCGATTGGCTGCGCCCGCTGATCAAGAAAAAATTTCCAACGTGTCTGTTCAAGTAATTGACTTCCACCAAATGGGGCTATCCACATGCTCAGTGTATGGTCAGCTTAAGATTCATACCTCATACACCAACTACCCTTTTGAGTTTGGGGTCTGGCAAGTGACAGGCAAGGCAACTGAGTTCAGTTGACCTCTGACACTCCAGCTCAAGGGTCAGCCAAGGAAAAAGCAGGTAAGGCATATGCCTGATCAATACTGGCTCTGACAACACCACAACCTCACCTTCTATGTTTTCATTGCAAGGTATTTCTTTGGAGACATCAACCCCTTTTCTTATCCCATGTGGAAAAGCCATCCGACTAAGAGATTTTCCTGATATCTGAGGAGTCTGCCAATCTGTGTAAGAACTTCCAACTGGATGTACTGCTGTTGCTGTAACAGAGAGCATACAGTGAAAAACCCAGAAAGTTACCAGTGAGTGCCATCTGTAAACACATTGCAGTTTTCGCTTACCCATCCTGCTTGACTGCTGGAATCCTACAGTTTCCATAGTGTTACATGCAACTAGAATATCAAAACAGAATGCAACTCCATTACATTATGTGAGAACATTTTTGCAATGAGCATTTTTAAAACAGAAGTATGGGTTAAAAAGAAAAAATAAATAATTCACATACTCACCTAGATTGCTACAGCATTGATGTGATGCTGCAGCTGTCCACCACTGGATCTACACAGAAAAACGGAGTGAACAAGCACCACTGATCACTCAGAACAGTCTTCAGTGAGCAGAGAGCCATGGCTGTCAGTCACTGGCTCTCTGCTCTGCACCTCCAGCACTCAATGGAGCACTGGGCTGTGGAGGGGGCAAGAGCAGCTAACTCAGGCTCTCAGCGGACCACTGAGAGGCTGAGACAGCTGCAGGTCACCCTGAAGATGGGTGTAACATGTTAGTAAATGTGAACTTAGCCTTTAAAGCAGAATTTAAGGCAAAGAACATCCACCTATGTCCCAATGGTCCAACGCTCACCGGCATCTTCCAGGTGCTAGTCTTTGGCCACCTTGACTGGCCAATGCAGGGTGACATCACTCCTGCGCATTGAGTCATTCATCCCGGCACAGACACTGTGCTGGAAATGTACACATAGCTGCTCATGTACATTCTGCAGAGGACTATAAGCAGACAATAGGTTCATTTTATTGCAGGAGAGAAATTGCATTATTCTATGTCAAAGTGCCTGTGTGCTTGCAGCTTTTATTTTTTGCATTTATTACAGGTACCTATTTTTGTTCCATTTTAAAGGGTCTATTTGCACCACGTTAGTCCACTTTGGTGCAATTATATTATGTGTTAAAAAGTGTTGTGCTAAAGCAGCCTCTTTATTTAACCAAAAATTGAATATGCATCAAGTTTGGCGAGTGCAGCAGGCCACATTGGCACATTTGAATGGGCTGCTTTGTCTGCATTTTATGCAGGAAAAATGTTCCTGCAGCATTCTGAAAACGCAGTAGCTGGGTAATCGCGTAGTGCTTTTGCACCATACGATTTTCCTGCAATTCCCCTGTGCTGTGGTTTTAGATGCATGGGGGAGTCATTAGCTATTTGCCCTCGAGAAGATTTACGCCCCCTTCATGACTAGGTCATTTTTTGCTATACGGCGCTGCGTTACTGACATTTGCGAGGACAAGCAACGCTGTACATAAATGACATGAAATTTAGGTCATTTTTTTACCCACAAATAGAACTTTCTTTTGGTGGTATTTGATCACCCCCCTGGTTTTTTATTTTTTTGAGCTATAATAAACAAAAAAAAAATCAAAAAAAAACAACAATATAGAAAAAAAAATATTTTAATTTGCTATAAAACATATCCAGTAAATACATTTAAAAAATATATTTGCTTCATAAAATTTAGGCCAATATCTATTCTGCGACATTTTTTTTAACAAAAATCCCAATAGGTGTATATTGATTGGTTTGTGCAGAAGTTATAGCATCTATAAACTATGGTATATATACTGGATTTTTTTTCATACTAGTAATGGCGGCAGTCAGCGACTTATAGCGGGATTGCGATATTGCAGTGGACAATCTGACATTGTGGGAACCAGTGACACCAATACAGTGATCAGTGCTAAAAATATACACTGTCACTGTATTAACCATTTCCCGACTGCCCTATAGCAGAAATACTGCCAGAGGGTGACATGGGTGTGCAAAATCACACATATATATATATATACACACACACACACACACACACACACACACACACATATATATATATACGTGATTTTGCATTTCCGGGTAGGGGGCGCGTGGGTCCCAGCCAGTAATTACTCGTGGTGCCTAGTAATTACCGAGGATCTCCAATGGGAGGAGAAATGTTTTATTTACTAATAGTTCTTCAATCCTCTTTTTAAAACAGAAATTGAGCTGCACATCGGCAGCTTAAAGCAGAAAGGCAAAAAAAAACCAAAAATGCAAGCAGGCGTTTAATTGAAGAACAGACACGCCATATCTCTTCAGCAATCAAATAAGCCTGCCGCAGGCTTATTGAAAATGTACACAGTGATCCCTGGAATGTAAACGGAGCTGCGCATACACAGAGCAGTTTACAATCAGCAGAACTCCTGCACATGCCCAGGAGTGACGTTGGACCACTGAAGCACAGGTAAGTATTGTGGACTTTAGTTTTGCCTTTGTGCCAGTTCACATATATGCGGATTAGATGCGGTATGAACTGCATCCAATCTGCATGACATGTGAATAAAACATTGCTTCCTATGGTGCCTGTTCACATATATCCGTTGCACTGGTGGTGCAGTTTCAAAAACAGTCATAAGTCATGTATGATTTCTGAGCAATGCCTTCAGGTTCAGGTGAGGATTACAGGCTATCGACTTCTATGGGAACCGTTTCTAAACCACACATGTGTGAACAGGATAAAATCCTGAGCTGATGCTGTCCTGAACCTGACATGAACTGCTGAACAACTACTGTATCGATTACCTGTAAAACCTAAGCTTCAGGGCCGGTTCACACAATAAAAAAGCACTGCAGATGTGTGCTAGATGTGTTTCTGCATGCGCTTTTTTGGCATGTTCCAGTTCATTTTTTTCCCTAATAGGGTCATCTGCCTTTAAGTGCGTTTTACAGCCTTCTAGTACAGTTTTGTGCAGGAAAAAATGCAGCCTGTTCTACTTTTTTTTCTGCAACCGGAAAGCATGGTAACTGCAAGCACGGATGTGAACACTGACAACCATATAACCTACTTTCTGTGCGTTTTTGATGCAGAAAATAAAAAAAAGCACACTGAAACACATGTAGTGTGAACTGACCCTAAATCCGCACTGCACTGAATCAGCTCTTAGGCGCTGTTCACACCATAGAAATGCAGTCCAGATGTGTTTCCCACATGTGCACTTTTGGCGTGTTCCGGTGTATTTTTTGATGCATTCCGGTGTGTTTCCCACCCTTTTTCTTCAATCTGAATGGGGACATGTGCATTCCAGTGCGTCTTGGTGCATTCCAGTGCATTTTTGGTGTGTTTTACTGCGTTCCAGTACAGTTCTGTGCAGGAAAAATGCACCCTGTTCTACTTTTTTTTTCTGCAACCGGAACTGCAAGCACTGATGTGATCCATGACATTGACAGCCATGTAACCTACTTTCTGTGCATTATGGACGCAGAAAAAAAGCAACTGAAACACATGTAGTGTGAAGTGGCCCTTAAAATACATACCTCAGTACTGGAATGAGAGAACTCTCTTGTGCACGCATCAGGAGTTATATTATTCTGGACCAGACAATCAAAATTGGTCAAAGATCTCGTACCTGGAAAGAGACCAGTCAAAGTATCAGCACTGGTATAGAAGCGAGGGAAGGAAGTATACTTCCGCCTTATGCCATATGAGTAAAAACTCTTGTTAATACCCCCACTACTGTAATATTGTTTGTCCTAACCCTGTATGACCTTGTTTACCATCATTGCCGCCCCTATGAAAAGTAATCCACTGTGTTTTGCTTTCCAGCGGTATTTGAAAGGTGTCTCAAAGGCTTCTTCAATACCAGTGTTAACCATTGTAAGCCAGCCACAATGCAACCACGACTATTACACACAGTTGCACAGCTCAATTCACTTGAATAGGTCATGTGGTGGTACTGCCAGCTGAACTTGTGGAAAAAATGTTGCCGCTCCATATTAGATTGTGAGCTCCCAGGATCAGGCCCTCCTATCCCTCTTGTATTGAACTGTATTGTTGCTGTATTGTCTCCCGTTATATTGTAAAGCACTGAGCAAACTGTTGGTGCTATATAAATCCTGTATAATAATAATAATGTGGCAGTGTGTGGCTACTGGCTGTGTTAACCTGAAGCTCGTCAGTTTAAAAAAAAAAAAAAAAAATCAACTGTCTCTTTTTACTGCCCCACCTGTAGGCTTCATTCACACCTGAGCGTTTTGTAGAGCGAAGCTCGACGCTCCACAACGCTCAAGGGGGGAAAAAAAAAAAAAAATCAATATTACTCTATGGAGATGGTTCAAATCTCCACTCCAAGTGGCCTGAAGCAAAACACAGATTTTGGCAGATGTGCACATTTTTATTCCCATAGAAAGGAATAGAAACGCACGACTGACGCGTTTGTGCATGTTTTGTGCGATTTTCTGCTCAAAATGAAAAAAAAAAAAAAAGTAAAATAAAAAATTGGAACGGTATATGAATAAATGCAAAATAAATACACATAAATAAAAAAAATCATGATTAATAAATCATAAATAATTAACCCCTAACCTTAAAAAAATTACATTATAAATAATAATAGCAACAATAATAAACCCCCGAACATAAAAAATACATTAATAATTGTTATTTTATTACTTTTTTAGGTTTTGGGGTTAAGGTTATGGGATAATTATTATTAATATACTAATTTACTATTACAAATATTTATGATTTATATTTGTGTATTTATTTTACATTTATTCACATTATTAATAATGTATTTTGTTAGGGTTTAGAAGTTTCTTTTTATTATAATAATAATAAGCTCCAAGGAGCAGGGCCCTCGAACCCCTCGTGTATTGTATTGTTACTGTACTGTCATGTACTGTCTCCCATTATAATGTACAGCGCTGAGCAAACCGTTGGCGCTATATAAATACTGTATAATAAAAAATCTGCTGATGGAAAAACTAAAAAAAAAAAGAACTTAGCAACAAATTATGTTAACAGATGATATTTTTCTCTATTGGCTAATAAATAAATGCCAAAATTAAAAAAACCGCCTGAAAACATGCAAAAAAAAAAATGCACCAAAAACGCTACGCTCAGATGTGAATGGAGCCGT